TGTATAAACAGCTTGCTTCGCTTATTAATTTTTTTTTTCTAGTAAACAGAGCCATTAATCTGGGCTATCCTTATTGACCTACTCAACACCGCAGATACTGCTCCTCACCAACAGGGTGGAGAGGGAATCATCAGTCTTCGGCCCCATTTTAGTTGTTACTGTTATAAAAACAGGCACACAAAGCATCCAGAAAGCACCTAGGAATTATTCCATTGGTACTACCAATGCATACACTGCAGAGGAACTGACAGAGACAGAAAGCCACAAGTTTTCTCAAGTATAAAATATTTCTGATCCTGTTTTTGAGGAGCTACAAACTTTGAATGAGATGCCCTGAAGCAATTGCAGAGAGCAATCTGGCGAGGCTTGGAAATGGGGACATTGCCTATCATGTTTTGGCACGCATGACTTTCCACCTTCACTACATTACACAGTAACTGCAACAGGAAAAAGCTGTCAGTAATAACCTCCAGCTTTATTACTACCCCCATAGAAGAACAATTTGTGCTTAATCAGCTGGTCCATGGCCACATAAGTTTAATATAATACTAATAAACATTAATATAAAGAAAGGCAGCCCTATGTTGAGAAGTCTGAACTAACACTTTTCTCAAGTACCAGAAGTGGGCTAGTAGATTTTGTGGTCTGTAGACTGCAGTCAAACTAAGCATAGGAGTAAGCAAGTTAGGAAAAAAAAAGTTGCATCAGCTAGCTAGTAGCTGTTCTAAGTTAAGCACACCCAGAGTGCCTCTTCAGCATCCCTGGATAGCAGTGACATCTGCCCTCTGAGCAATGAGACGGCACTGAATTATTTATCTACTGACTACTGCAGAGATTATTCGAGTGCCTTTGAGCTAACTTTTACAACTTCTCATGGAGTTTTCCATCATTAAGCATAAAAAAAAGGAAAGCAGGGAAGCCAGCTTCTCATCTGGAGGGAATGGAGCTGCAGAAGAACTGGGTCTGGAGGGCAACTAACATCAACCAGCATGTTAGAGGATTCAGATATTAAATGCTGAACGATTATAGAACTAAAACACCAGCCTTGAATTTTTGAAATGCATTTTTCTCCCATGTAAGTCTAGTAATCCTATGTTGTCATGTTTTTATGATTTTTGGTTATAGATATTCCTGTAACATCATGTTACTCCATAGCATTCTGTAGTGCACTAGGAGTTAAAGAGTTAATGCAAAATTTACTAAAACATAATTAAGGAATAACAGTAACTCCATGACTATTCCACAGACCCCCCAAAAAAACACAAATAAAGCAGAACACAAAACAAAAGCAAACAAGTCCACACATCCACAGCTAAACAAAAAAACTTAAGAAGTCTCCCTGCTTTTTTTTTTTTCAGCTTCATTTAAAAATAGAAGGGACAGCAACCTTACTGCATTCAAACATTTTGAAATAGAACCATTCAGGCATTCTCAGCTTCTATTGCTGATAAGGAGTTGAAGAGCTTCAGTTATGCAGAACAAGTATAGAGAAATGTGTGGTGGTTTGTTTGTTTGTTTTTGTTTGTTTGTTTAATTATGAAAACAGAAAAACCTCATTAGTTAGTGTTAAGGAGACAGATGATATTCCATTTTTATTTCCAAAGAAAAATATTTTAGGGCTGCATCTTTTCAGAGGCCTGTAAGAAATATAACATCAACAAACATTGCTTGGACTTTGAGAGGAAGCCTACTGGGCTACCATTGCCCCCACCTCATACAGCAAGAACCACTCAACACTTAGAAACACTGACTCCAGACCATGCCTGCTGAAAACAAATGTCACAGAAATCAGGCTGGGCATCCTTAGTATGAATTACTTTGGGTATCAGTATAAAATGGATCTATCTATAGCTCTGGAAACCTGAAAAGGATGAGATTTCTGGTAGTAGATTATTCAGGTAAGCCAAAAAGGATTTGTACATCTCTGCATGCACAAGTATAAACAAGGGTTTTACAAACCACAGATACAAGGATTGCTGTTGGAATAAACCTATGTGAACACACCTACAACATGGAAGATCTTGAATCACAACTCTTGCAGTTTATTGGCAACCAGAATCAACTTGAATTCTTTTCATTCAAGAATGAACAGCTAAAAAATTAGATGCTCTGGTTTATGAGGAATTAGGAGTTTCAAACAGAGTATATACCACAAGTTATATTCACTATTTAGGCTATGTGATTGCAAACATTCCCCCAAGCCTCATCACAATTCCATTTTGAATGTTATTCAAACATGAACCAGATTTGGTTTTACTTGAACAAAACCAGTAAACACACATTATTTCAAAATGCAGAGAAGATAAGAATTAATGGTAACTGTTAAACAATTCAACAGCAATTTTCCTTTCCAACAGAAAATGATCACAATTTTATCTGCTATCTTTAGGAAGTTTTTTGTATTCCAGGCTAAAGCAAGTGACACAGGCCAGCCAAAAAAAAAAACCAAACAAAACAACAAACAGTCTCCTGTTCTGTTGCATTTTGAAATATTTTTACTGCTAGTATAGAATTTTAACTTTTAATAGTAATTCCATGGCCAACTCTAAATGTTTCCCAGAACTCAACTGTTGCCTTCAACTTTAGGTGACAAGCAGTCTTATTGTCACTAACCACATCCTGAAATCCCAATGAACTGAGAAGGCACTCCTGTTTCAGATTTTCATTTGGAATAATAAACAACAACAACAAGCAAAGACCAAACATATACTTAAATCCCATTTTTCTACATTCTGAACTCTGAATAGCCTTAAAGCTATATACTTTTTTTCAGATGTTATTGCAGGATGTTTATCTTGAATTATCCATAGACAATGCCTGCAATAATGCATGCATTCCAAAGGCAAAAGAACTGTTTCTTACCAGAGATGACTTTTCCTTCAACGTAAACATCTAAGATTTCCCTAGTCTTCTGCTGTTATATAGAAAATAAAACTTTCCAAACTCAGTTTCTGCATGGAATTTTCAATGGAAAATCAAAGACCACATATGAGGAGCAAGCAAAATTTGTCAGATTTTGATATTTTTTATATATTTAGATACACTTTGCACTGATCTGTCTTGCAAGTCCTGTTTCTATAGATAAACAAAAACAGCTCAGTAAGGTTGGTTCTTAAGGCTGGGTGCTGATGGTGGACAAAGAACAGAAGATTAGTTAACTAACGCTGTGAGTATCTACTTCCATGAAACTGGTACAGAAATAAGACATGAAAGAGCACATAGAAATGGCAGAAATATTGTTCAAGTGCAGCTAGAAGAGAAAAAAATTGATATGGGAGATAATAGAAGAATGCAACAAAAACATATAAAGGACTCAGAAAAGTTGTTAAAGTGGCCTTAAAATAGAACTTTCATTCCTCTAGAGATTTTTACAGCAAACACATTTCCATTTCTTAAAAAGGAAAGGAGCATCTATCTCAACACATCTTTCTGAAGCACGCTAAATATTCCAGACTCAAAGTAAATAAGCAAGAATACTATTAAAAAGCCCACAGCAAAAATGAGAAACTGAGTTTCTCAGAGCCCAAACTTCTAACTACTTGCTTGGTGCCTCTCATCCCCTTACCAAAATACATATTTTGCAAATCCGGATCCCAGTTTCCAAAGAGAACAAGGAAAAAGTTCATTTGGGTTAAGAAGAGCAGGTTATCTATCTCTATCTCTGCATACTTTCAGAATATTATTTTCTTAGATGTGGGACTTGAAGTTTATTTGGTTCAAGAATTTCTAATAATGTAACTTTACAGGAGTGATTTCAGAAATATAGGCACTACTACAGCTGTTTAAATATATTTTGGTCTTAATTGCAAGATTCATTACTCAGTTTTTATTGCATTCATGAAGGCTTGCAGTTTTTCTTTCGAAGTTTCTACAGACAGCAAGAAAACTATTTGATTTGTTTTTTTAAATCATATCCTAATTTGTTTCAAGGAGTAACCACCAGAAGCACAGAGCCTACTTTTGTCACTTCATTATACTTAGTATACAAGCTATACACAGAAATATGCCTTACGAGATGATGAAGTCAGTTAACTAGTGGACAGTTTATGTTCCAAGGAATTAATGTAAGGAAAGTAATGTGGACACAACAAGTCAGTTCACTCAGGACACTATAGTAACATCCATCACACGTGATTTCATGAAGGTCATAGGAACATAGCTGAATTAGAACATGAAAATGATGCCTTCAAGGTTCAAGTTTCCCAAGTGAGACACTCAAGCAAACTCAGTGACAGACAGGGCTAGGTTCAGAAGAGGAGGGGGGAACAGTGAAAGGCTGGCGCAGCACCAACATGCTTCTACCGCATCACTTCTGAGATCACATTACTCCCTTCGCTCCTGGGGACACACTGGGGAAATGTCAATGACTGTGCAGATAGTAGTGAGTGAGAAACAAACTATCAGAGGGTTAGCTTGCAAACACATACAGAGCGCATAGACACGCCACCTCTCTTGTATTTAATAATTGTCTTCTGCAATTTTACTAATAGAGCATGGAAGAGGAAGATGCAATTGTATTTCTCTCCCTCTCCCTGCCCCATCAAGATCTCAAGCTTTTTTACCTAACAAAACCAACACAAATTTTTTTGGAGACACTGGTCCAAAAATGGGTTTATGGGTCCAATAAGGGTTTATGCAATTTCTAAATCTGCCACCAAAGCTCTGCAACTACTAACAGGAGACAACCTGAATAAAGTTTTCTAAATGTGAAGTATTTTTTATCTCTATCTAAGAAATCACTACAAGGAATGTCATTAAATCATTTAGTAACAAGAAGTGGTCTTCTATAGTCACAGTATGTAAACAATAAGATGGGAAGCTGGTTTAAAAGACAGAGAATGTGATCCAAATATAGTGAAAAATTTAATATTTCCTATTTAATGAAACTGGCACTTTGTTGGCTGAGCTTTCCTATTTCACCTCCCAAGAAAGCAGCTTATTTAGATATATTCAAAGAGAAAAACCTTAGAGTGAAATAGTCCATGGGACAATTTACATACTTAGGATGTCGGATGTCTGGCAGAGATCGCTCCAGTGCTATATTGTTGCTAACAAATATGTTGAAGCCATTTTCTCTATAAGCTGAATCATCATGGTCTTCCTCTGTCAGAGGGTACGGCTTTCCGTGTTCACCTTTCCCTACAATGAAACAAAACAATTATTTGTCTCAAACTGATAGCACAGGATGGACCACAAAGACAAAAATAACAGTTCAATTAGCATATTGGCACTGGAACATATCTAATTAGCTTCTTCCTATACCTTTATTGATAAACACAGGACATAAAGAATAAAATCTGTTGAGATGTTCCTAAGTTAGCTTTGTATAGGGTTCAGAACAGGACTGAAGAAGAGGCACAGAGCTGCCCTCAAAAACCTTCCAGCACAGAGCTCAATCTTTCTCCCGTGTCCAGGACTGGAGCATAAGGATGACAAATTTCTTACTTCTAGATAAACGTCAGAACAAAACTTATGCCATCTCTGCTTCTGGAACAGAAGTTATTTTCCTTGGCCCTGTTCCCTCAGATTGGAGTTGGCAGGTAAGTAAAACTTCATTTTGCAGTTAAGGGAAAAGAGCTTTTAATCCATTTCTTACTCTTCATCACACTTTTTTTTTTCTTTTCACAGTTCCATGGGCCTTTTTTTTTTGTCCCCCTTCTTTTGTTGCTTCAAAAGCCTAATAGCCTAATTGGAAGAAAAAAACAAACAAAAATGGTGTTCTTTTCACCTCATAAAATGTCTCAAAGATCTTCCTCTGTTAATTTTATGGAATTCTCAATTACATATCCACAATTCTATGAGTAAAACAAAACTTTCATACAACAAGTTAGATTTGCCAATGATACTGAAACAATGCTGAGACAATTGTTGGACTCCTAAGTATAAGCAGAACAGTGAGATTAAATTTCTCTTCAACAATACTTCAAATACAGTTTCAGAGAAAACTAGCTTTGAATTGTGTTTCCCCTGGTACTTGGGCACACATCTCAACTGTGATAAGCATCTCTGCTTGAAAAATGAAGGGTTTGTCTATTAAAATTATCCATAGTGGTAGTTACACTATTTTGTTAAATCACTTTAAAATAAATCCATTTCAGCTCAAGAGAGCACAATACCTGCATTTTACCTGGTTAAGATTTCTACAGTGAAATAACTAACCAGTAAAGCAATACTCCTAATACTCCAAATACAGACACATAAAGCAGGTAGAAGAACAAACATTAGAAGTCCCACTCAGTTCACCCAGGTTGCCTTCCTTTCAGAGACACAGTCAGCTTAAAGCCATTTTATCTGCAAAAATTTGATTTGCAGATTAAGCTAAACAAAGCCTTTTTGCATCAGAATCCACTTTTCATAGTATAATTCTGAACTAAGGGATGGTTTTCAGCAAACTGTTTTTGACTGATCTGAGAAAATGGAGCACTCAGTTATGCAGTGCTTTAGCAGGCAAAACACTTCCCTACGCATACTATTTCCAAATACAGCTTCAGCATTAAAGTTTAGGGCATGCAACATTCCAGAACAAACAGTAATGAAACCAAATGTTTTGCTCTGGGCTCCTTAAACACCCTTGTACTCCAAGGGACCAGCCAGATGTCCTCAGTGCTTCTAGTGTCTTCACATTGTCGATTTGGTTTCAGAAAGTGGTCACTTCAGTTCCCTAAAGAAATCAGCTGCTAGTTTCCTGGCAAAGGACGGACTTTCTATTCCAGCTTTTTGTTCCCAAGTTGATTCTCATCAACTCACTTGGCTTGCTTAGTACCTACCTCAGGCAACTATGCCTTTCTCTCTTCCAGTGAGAGAGAATAAACAATAACACTTGAGAGAAAATGAAAACACGAAAGTCTTTTTCTTTTTGACTACTTTTTTATCCTCTTCATTCTTACAGAGGACACAGCTCTTCAAGCCTACTCATGGTCTGAAGAAGATATGCATTCCTCTACATCTCATTTATCAGCTTATAACCTCTCCGTTCTTCTCTCTCAGTGCACCCTCATAAGAAAATAGCTCCTCTCACTTGAGATCTTTTTAGAAAATTAATCTGCTTCCCAGGTAGATTTGGTAAGTGACCACGGCCACTTCATCTGGTCCTCAGCTGATCAGGAGCAGCTGCAGACGGGGATGAAAAGGAAAGCAAAGCAAGCCGGGAGAAACAGTCAGCAGTATCCTTAAAGCCTATGAATCTTTGTCAGTCTAAGAATTTCAAACTGCACAAATAAAAATGTTTAAAACAGGCCATACAATCAAAGATGCTGTAGTTGCTCATTTTCAGATTTTTTTTTTTCAGATAAAACATTCTTTTTTATCCCAAATCTTGCACAAACATGTACAATTTCACTCTAAGTCTTAATAAAACATTTGGTGTTACTTACAAGGGGGAAAAATACATTCTGCAACACTCTTCGGTTATGCTGTTTCTTTACTAACAGGTATTTTGTCATTTTTATTTTTAAGGCATCTCTGAGATACATATTAATGCATCCTTAAACTAATGTGATTATTTTATGATTTCATACTTAATATGGGGAGGAACTACAACATTTTGGAATGTTATTCAGAATTCAATTATATCAGATCTGCTTCATAACACAGTGACAATAAGCTACTGTAATTCAAATCCTGAGACAGATGTATTAGCCCCAACTATTTGACCCACTGCAATATATAGATTGCTTTTGCACGTATACAGGAACTTGGGTCAAAAGGTACACTAGAAGTTGTGAAGCATGACTACTCCCTGACACTAAAATATGTGCCTAGAGGCATCTGGGCTTTTAATAATCCAGTGTGTATTTCTCCCAGCTTTTACTTGCCTATTTACCTTGCAGCTGCTCCTGATTAACTACAGCTGAGACAGTCACCTCCCAGCTCCTGCTGTACACCAGTTGGTTAATTTTCCTAAAAGAGCTCTGGTTAAAAAGAGGTGATTTCTAATGGCTGGACTTGCAGAAGAGAAAGAAAGTGCTTGGAAGCTGATTATAAAAAAATATTATAAAATGAGAATTACTTCTGGAGAATCAGGAGTCCTGAATGGTTTTCTCTGTCTAGCAACTTGCCATATAGGAGTCTTCCCAGCATTACAAATTACCTTAAACATATTAAATTTTCTTCCATCACTTACTTGCCTTCCTAGATTACTGAAGACAGTTGTCTCCAATACAAAGTGGTTTTGAGATGAACTATCCCAAAGTCTACTTAAAATGCCAGAGTCCAAAGGGAAAAAAAAAAACACAGTACGAGAAGAGTAACACTTGTGAAAAAGAGAACCAAGGGGTTTACTGTGAAAGCTACAGAATGGTACTTTGAAACTACTGACAGAGAGAGACAAGCCATCTTATGCTGGTTGTTCTGCCTTAAGGCAAAACAGCAATACACTGTGGCCATCATGGCTACAAAGTAGTGCAGGGAACAGAAAGGGAAGCACGCCCTAATGCAGCAAACAAGCCAGCCCTAAGACTTGCTCCTAACCCTATCTGAGGCTGGTTTACAATTGCAACACAATCCCAGGATTTCTTGTTCATTTACTCAGATCTTGGTTTTTCAGAAGGTGAGGGAAGGAGGGGAAGAATCCTGAAGAACAAGAATTGTCTGTGACATATGAATTCATCCTGGGCCCTAAACTCTCTGATAGTGGAGCAGTAGGCTCCACTACAGGGCAACAGAAGCATGTGAACAGCGTTGTTAATTCATGAAGTGCTCTCTAAACTTAGTGATTGCAGAGTTCTTACACCTTGATTTTAACTTTTAGCTCGTTACTCGGTGTAAACAACACTTGGAAAATATGCTAGATTTTGTTTTTTAATACCATGTTAATTTTGAAGGTGACATCTCTACAATACTTAAATGTTAATTTATACTTTTTAAAATTTAATACACCACTACAAAATTCTTATCCAATGACTGTCAAATAAACAGAGTAAAGTAAGATAATCTAGACATCCAGAGAAAGTACTGACTTGGTCAAATACCAGATGTACAGGAATTTTTTAGCTCCAATCAGGGATATTATGTCCCCTAGGAAATAACACACTCTATACCTAGCACTAATGAATTTAAGTTTTATGCTTGATAGCTTGTGATAATTGATAGTTTAAGAAAACCTCAGTGAAAGCATCTACTGTTTATATTAAATACAGATGCAACAGAAGGAGAACAAGCCGTATTTTTCAGCAGATGGTGTTAAGGGAAGCTTAGGGTGAGACAAGAAAATCAGAAACATTCTGTATCCTCAGCGCAAATGTGTAATAGCGGAGTAATGTCTCTGGATCAGCCAGGCATGATAATTATGAAGAGAACAGGAGTACTGCTAGCAAAATGTATCATCTGGAAATCAGTTTGAACATGTAACAAAAGAGAAGTTCAGTACAGCTTCAGCACACAGTGGATAAGAGACCTTGCTTGAAAAAAATAGCAATAAAAAAGCACATTACAACAGTTTGTTTTTTTTTTCTTGTTGTTGTTGTTTTTTTCTTCCTGTTTGATTATTTTCAGATTATTTATAACTCAGTTGACATGGTAGAAAAAAATGCTTTTGTTAAAGGAAGGCAAGGTATTGCTTGGCATCTCAACACAGGAAAATAGGTGGGCAAACAGCACAGCCCACTCAGTGTACTGCGCACAAATCTGAACTATTCACTGTTTATATCCACTGCTATCAGTTCACTCAGGCTAAGCATCTTAGTCACACCAAGTAAAGGCCACAATTCATGAAGAGCATGTTTTAGTTTAATAATGTCCAAGCATGATATTTTGTAATTAGGAATGAGAATTTTCTACATGCTAAATGCTTTACTATATAAGATTTCATTTTAATACATTAACATAAAAATAAATTTACAGTATATTCTACTATTTTTATAATATTAAGTCTTTAAAGCAAGGTGTTTTTTTGTTTTGTTTTGTTTTTAAACATTATTTCTTAATTTTCCTAATGCATTATGTTTGGTTTTTTTTGTTGTTTTTTTTTTTTCTTACTTTGGAAAAAGAATCTGCACAGAAAAATGAGTCAAAATTGTCCTAGGCATATACTACAGAAGCACAGCTTTACACAATATATATATATATTTTCTTTTTCTGTGAAGAGTTCACTTTATTTCAATCAGTAAGTAGAACCGATAGTCCATTCTGAACTTGTACTG